TTTGGTATGTTTGAAAAAAAAAATTATACCTAGCACTAATTTAAAAAAGTGCAAAAAATGACTTTTTCTGCTGTTTTGGAAAATCAATGACTACTTTGCAAATATTGCGAAAAGTGCCAATGTTTGAAGGTTTTTTTTTAGCTCAAGACATGCCTAGGAGGCCTGTAAATTTTGAAATCGATCGGTAGAACCTTTTCCTTTCCTGAATCATCAGTTTTATAAAGAATTAAAGAAGCAGGTTTATTCCTCCATAAACATCAATTAATGATTAAAATGAAATTAATTTTTTGCGTAATTTTTCTCACAATTTCGCGTTAAATGTTCAGCAAATATCGAAAAAAAAAAAATTCAAAATGTTGAAAAACAATAAATTTTTCAACTTTTTTTAAATTTAAAAAAAAAATTTTTCGACATTTCAAATATACACAAGTAAAATTGTGAAAAAGAGAAATTTTGAAATTTTTTTTTTTCAAAATTTATTTTTTTTTTTTTTGATATAACGAGTATTTAATGCGAAATTATGAGAAAAATAGCGCAAAAAAATTTGTTTTATCTTAATCATTAATTGATGTCTAAGGAGCAATAAACCTGCTCCTTTAATTTTTTATAAAACTGACGATTCAGGAAAGGAAAAGGTTCTATACGATCGATTTCGACAGTTTAAAAAAAAACTGTAACATTTTTGCTCTGCATTATTCCTTTCGATTTCATTTCATATCAAGATTTCAAAACTAGAATCTTCAAGCTTCAAATTGCTTCTTTTTTTTCTCGATACCTTTCAAAAAACTAAAAAAAAAAATTGAAAATTTTTCTGCTACTTTTATTTTTTTTGCTGTTTTTATTAGACAAATATTTGGTTATAACTGTTGAACTTTTATCTATCTCTTCAGTCATCGATTTAGTAATTAACCTTTGAGTTTTAGTATGACCTTTTACAGATTTTTGTATGTACTTTGAAGCTATTTGACGTATGTATTGTACTCTAAAGCCATTTCGATCAATTTTAGTGTTTTCTGGAGCTGTTTCAATGTCATCTGATAACAAATTTCACAGCTTTTGTGAATTATGGTGAATGTATTATGTATTTTATTTAATTAAGATATATTGGTCCATTTTCAGGTTATTTTACAACATCGTTAAGGTGTTCTAATGTATTTCGAGTTTTTTTTTTGACTGTTTAGGCCAGGACAAAGTATTTGGTGGTTTTCTAGATATTTAGAAGTATTGCCAGCGAGCTATTTCCAAGCATTTCGAAGTTCTCAAGGTGCATATGGCGAAATACCTATAAATTTTTTCGATTTATTGCAACGTTTTGGGAGCGTTTCGACGTTTTTTGAAATATTTCTTAGGTTAGACTCTCTATCTCTGGTTCATATCCCTCAGATGCTCCGATGAGAAAATTGTTTACTTGAATATTAAAATAATAAACACTAAAAACACAAGTTTAATCATAGACATAATACAATTCTTACAACTGTGGTTTTTGGAGAGTATTATTTACAAAACAGGATTTAAATATATTCTTGGGTGTCGCTTACGTGCAACCACCCCCCACAGTCGAGGGATTTGTCCAAACACATGTCGTACGGGGTATTTAAGCTCTTGGGGAATCCACCCGTTCATGACGCCAACAGGCGGAGAGTTGTGAAATATTCATTCCGTACCGTGTATCCTTTACTTTTTGAATACAATGTAGCGAGGCAACGCGGTGGCTGACGCGCTGGTTTTATTAATGTTGTAAACTGAAATTTGTTCGTTTTTATTATATGTACGGAATCCATAAATCGGCGTAATAAGCCCGAATGTCAATTTGAACATGCCATAACTTATATGGGACGTTCCAGTGGCCAGTCCCCAGTAATTCCCAACTTTCTGAATTGGGTTAATGATTCTTTGCGTTCGTTTATTGGCAGTATAAAAGTTTCTGCGGATTCGTACGGGGTGCCAGCGTTATTCCCTCGAATAGTTCATACAGATTGTTGTGAATTTTCAAGTGCGAGTCCAGTTGTAACTACTGGTATAGTCTTTCCGAAGTTTGTTGACATGTATAACAACGCCTAGCAATAAAATTTAATGAGTTTCATACGCGTCCCTAAAAAAGTTTTCTGCTAAAGGTAAAAAATTATAATAATTTGTATGTAATGTGTAGAAAATTCGACTGGAGTTTGATCTGTGTTTCTAGATTTTCTAGTTTATGGAATCGGGTTTATAATTAAGTATTTTTCCAATAGTATCTATAGGTTGTTGAATGGTACACATTTTCCTTGTTGGTTAAGATGGACTTGCATGGTTGTGAATTCTGTGATCTATATACACAATCTTAGGTAATAGGTATTTTCGTTACAGCTTTATAGTCCAATGCGAAATAAGGTAAAACCTCCCAATTTTTTCGGATAGCATGGATTTTCCTGAAAATTTGCATACAAGCGCATCTGGCCCCCCACTTCAAAAGTTATATTGTCTAGATGTGCGCTTTTTTCTATTTTGGGGTGAAAACTACCCCTGTACGAAAAAAATGCGATAATCAAAGATTTACGTATTTTAAAGATTCAATTCGTGTTCAAATATGTTGGATAACGTTCCTTTCATGTTTTTTAATATAATTTATGGAATTTAATTACTTTTCAACCTTTAAAAATCCTTAAAAACTACCGTTCCATAGCCAAAAAAATAGAAAAAAAAAGTTTTTAACAGTTTAAAATATTCTTTTTTTGGTGCATTCACAATGCATTGCACTTCTTTTGTTATTCATTAGAAAGCTTACGACTCATTACAAAGTTGCAACCCTTAAAAACCATTCCTTATAATAAAATAAACAAAAAAATATTATTGAAAGCTTGAGATGTTCTGATAGTATCTATGCATATGTTGAATTATAATCTTTTTATTGGTTTTCAAATTCCCCAAAACCTTACGGAAGTCCTATCCTTCATAAAAAACCCTACCCCTTTAGAAAAATTTCCTAAAAATTATATGTGAGTATGATGAATTTTTTTAAATTTTATTGACTTTATTCTTAATATTTTTTTACTAAATTAATATCAGTTAATTTTTTTTTTATATACATTATAAATGGACGTATTGTAAAAAATGTTTTAATAATGGTCTGTTATTTTTTACGTGTGTATAATAAAATATTTAATTTTCATCACTATCATCATTTTATCATAACTTTTGTAATTTTTAAGTTATAAATTTACTCAAAAACCATTTTGTAGGAAATTTAAAGCACTTTAAGTTCCGTGACTTGCATTTTTTTTGAGGTTTTTTATATTTGTAAGCTAAAAGGGCTCAGGAGAGACAGTCTTGGAGCTAAGTTTTGAGCCTCTAATGACAAAATTTAAAAAAAGCAAATTGTTCAGTAAGAAAAAACCTACAATTTCTTATTCTATCTTTTTTTTTATAACTTTGTTAGTCTTTGAAATATTTTGAAAAGTGCGATTTTTTTAAAAATTTAAAAATTTTATTCAAAAGTAAATGAAATATTTTTTAAATTGAGGCATCTAAAATTGTTCAAATTCCCAGAATCTACTGATAATACATAAATAAAGTAAATTGCAGAAGAAATACGTTTAATTTTTTTTTCTGTCAAGTCATTAATTTTAATACCGATTTTTTTTCCTCAAAAATCAAGACAATCATTTTATTTTGATTGTAACTTCATTAGTTTTCATGCTAACGACTTTGACCACCAATCTACTTTAGTGTTATATAAATTTTCCTCGAAAAACCTTTAATTTTTCCGCTACAGGACGTTGAATGTTTCGATTATAGCTATCTTCCAAACTGGCTTCAACTTCTGGGAGTCCATAACTCGGGTTCTATACCAACTACAAAAAAAAAGCAATCCCTTTTCTATTTAATTACCTTCATTTTTGCTTACGATAATTTTTTTGATAAAACTTGTAGTTTTTGAGATATTCGCGAAAAATGGCTCAAAAACATGCATTTTTTGGGTTAAAAACGAACGTGTTTAGGCGCAAATTACTCAAAAAGTATTGACTGTACAAAAAATCCTTATAGAACATTTCTTGCTTAGAATTAGTCTCTCTATCGAATCGTGTGGTTATTTTTAATAAAAAATTCCCACCTTCCAGAAGGGGTGGCATCCACCCTAGTGTAAAAGCACACATCGGCACTAGACAGTGCTTTCGAAAAGTAACGAATAAATTCATTATTTTTTAAATTGAGAAGTTTTCGAAAAAATCCCCTGGCACGTCGATTTTGTTTTTAAAAAAAGGCACTTTTTCACATACGACCCATATTTATGACGTCATCGATGTTCGATATATGACGTCATCGACAATTTTTTTAAATAGCAACCCCCAATTTTGACCATGCCATTTGAAAGAGCGTGTTATTCTACATACACAGATCATGAAAAATTATGGAATTATATAACAAAAATTTCAAGAAGATAATGTTTGAAGATTTTAAAATTTAATTTTCACAATACTGAAAATGATAATGATTATGTAAAAATCGACTAAATTAAATGTTCAAATTGTGCACCGTTGGCTGCCTGACGTAGGCAAGACGATTAATAAATTCTTTTTGGACATTTTCAGTAACTTCAGGAGATATACGATGTATCTCGTGACGAATTCTTCTATCTAGTAGAATGACACGTCTTTCAAATGGCATGGTCAAAATTGGGGGTTGCTATTTTAAAAAATTGTCGATGACGTCATATCTCGAACAACGATGACGTCACAAATATGGGTCGTATGTCAAAAAGTGCCTTTTTCAAAAACAAAATCGACGTGCCTGGGGATTTTTTCGAAAACTTCTCAATTTAAAAAATAATTAATTTATTCGTTACTTTTCAAATACTACAGTTCAAATTTCGCGTCAATCCATTTCCATCCGAAAAAATTGGTAACCAAAAATACCAAAATGCTTCAGTGACGGATGTACAAATAATAATGCGAATAAAGACATTTATTATTATTATTATCTATTATTAAAACTCTCTTTTATTTTCATTAATATTTGAAGCAACCACTCAGACTGCCTCGTATCCATTGCCCGCGGAAATCGCGAGTGAACGATCATCGATGACTTCTGCGAAAGCAAAAGCAATCGCGAAAAATCTGCCTCACGCTCAGGACACGAGACTACGTCTCATCATCGTGGTTGCGACAACTGTACATTTGAGTAGAGAGCATGGTAAGACCTACTACAGAAATGATCCTGTGAAGTATGATCTTAATTTCGTACACCGCGCGCTGCGGGTAAACTGAAATACAATCAGGTAGTACCGGTGAGATATAACGATAAACCCTAGTGTGGAAGAGAGATGCTAGGATAGAATATGGGTGTGCCATCTATGAACGTCTGTGTATATAAAATAGTAGTCAACTATTGATTTAATTAAACGTTTAATCATTTTAAGTTCCATTTAATAATAAGTATCTGTGTCAGTAAATAGACGCGAGTATAAAATTTATATCACGCTTTAGTTTTAGTAAATTTTAATTAAAATATCTTTCACCAGATTATTTACCCACCTTGTTTGCACAAGGGTAAAACTTCTAATTGTGTTTTTTAAGCTTTAATATTCGTACGGTGTAAATTGTTAGACACTTGTTTATTTTCTCTAAAAAAAAATTGATATGGAACGAATCGGACAAGCAAACTCATTATCTAAAAGGGGATACTGTTTAATCAAGCAGCCATCGCTATTTTCCATCGTCCAATTGTAAGCGTTAATCCATTAGAGTCTTACGAATTGATACTAATCGGTCGAAAATGCCTGCAAAAATGGGAAGCGAAAGAAGATTATGCCTCAGTTGAATGCATTTAACATTTAATTCGACGCCGGATTAGTCCGGGATACGAGACGGTGCATGCACTGAATATATTAGAGGTCCGCATTGGTCTTTTACCGCCCCGACGGTATCTAAAAACTGAAAAAAAAAAATGTTAAAACTTTAGAATGGTTTGTTTAGATTAGGACTTAAAGAATATGCTACAATCTTGATATCTGCATATAAAAGTTAAGCAAAATTTGGAAAGGTTATGATTATTCTGCTGAATTTTAAACGAAATCAGTAGTTATTGATTATTTCTTTCAATATTTCGGACACAATTAGTCAAACACGGATGACCCATTACATCAAAGCATGCGTTGATACAGAAGTGTTTTTCTCCACTTTTCCGGGGCATTATTATCGAGTGGTATTTTGGGAAGTGGCTATAAAGTGTCTCTGTCGACGCCATTAAAGTGAAACAAAGCCAAACCCATTCGAGGGTGTAATCAACAAGGGAGTGGTGTAGGTCTAAGTAGAGTAGAATGACAATGGGCTCATCTTCCAAGGTTGAGGTTTGTACAGGGTGGATATGGTACGTGCGGGAAAAACGCAACAAACAAAAAAATTGTTACAAAAATATACAGTACATATGCGTATGGCATATGGAGCAATTCTCGAAAATAAAAATGTGAATTCACAAGGCAGGATTAAAGCCATCTTATTTATAGCAGCTTCTAATCCACTCAACAACGATTCATTTGTCTGGCAAACAAAACTAAGAAAAATGAGGGTAGTTCTGAGTTACCTATAGGTAACCTATAGGTATTTCGAAATTTTTGTGATTACGAACGTTTAGATGGGGGTACAGATTTTTTTGTTGGCATATTGTCGAAAATTCTGCGCTAATACATAAATAATATTATTTTGCCACCCCCTAGACGCACAAACAAAGAAAAACGAGGGTAGCTCTGAGTTGCCTATAGGTCCCTCTGTCCGACATATTTTGAAATTTTTGTGAGCACGAACATTTAGATGGGGTACAGATTTTTTTGTTGGCATATTGTCGAAAATTCTGCGCTAATACATAAATAATATTATTTTGCCACCCCCTAGACGCACAAACAAAGAAAAACGAGGGTAGCTCTGAGTTGCCTATAGGTCCCTCTGTCCGACATATTTTGAAATTTTTGTGAGCACGAACATTTAGATGGGGTACAGATTTTTTTGTTGGCATATTGTCGAAAATTCTGCGCTAATACATAAATAATATTATTTTGCCACCCCCTAGACGCACAAACAAAGAAAAACGAGGGTAGCTCTGAGNAAAAGTTAGCTAATAAAAGTTTTTGACTCACGAGACGAGAGATGTCTTGTATTATGTTCCTTTAGACAATTTTACAATAATCTAGCGGATAGGACTTTTTTCGAGTTTCTCTTTTATTTTCGCTAATTTTCCTGGTGTAGATGGCCAGTCAGATAATATGAGGGTGTTCTTAGTTGCTGACAGGTTCATCTAGCACTTCTACTTTGATTTATTTATAAACGGAAGTGCCATAAATATGCAATTGTAATATAATGTTGTGCTCACAATTCCGTGATCTGAGCTCCTCTATCCCCCAAACGATTTCCTGCACGCCATAAACCGTGGCTGGGAAACCGTGGATAACATCACACAAACAAATTTTCTTGGAATATATCCTTTCGATATTTGCCTCAAATAAGTCTCTATTTGATGATATTCTACTATATTTACTTTTCTGCGCAATAATAATGTGGTCTTCAACATTGAATAAGTACTTTATGCACAATGTTTTTGGGCTGAATGATTCTGACTAAAAGGTAGGTATGTAAAAAATATAAATTATCAAAAATTATAAATATTTCTTTAAAATGATAAAAGGTAATACACACCAGTTCTTGGAAATGTCCCATTAATATAGTTTTACTAACAGCTGTCACTGAATTTCTGCTTGTCCAATTCTCAAAAAGTTTATATTCTTTATCATAAAGTAATTTAAATTTGGAATTCTTTTGGAATAAGCATTTTTCTTCTAAAGGCTGCCTTATTCTTTCAGTTTTTGATCTTTAATTTGTGCGATTTTTACTGCTTAGAGCACTTATTTAGAAAATGGCTGATTTTTATGAGCTTATTCAGGAGATATAGTCCCTCATACGGATAAAATGTACTGTAGTCGGAATCTGGCCCATCCTGGACATAAAATCCTCGATCAATTACATTATGAAAATACGAGGCGGAGACGGGCGGAATATTAAAAAGTACCCCCGGGCAGTTTTCAGTATCCCATTTTCGTGAACAAAGGGAGACCTGAGATTTCTTATCCTCACATGTACCCATAAAGCACGTAGAAGTTAAAGTATATCATCAAAGTAATTCCGCTGGCGGGGCCTTTCGGACGTTTCATCATTTTTTAAATTAAAAATACTTCATGCGAGTTCTCCGATCGAGCCTTCTGACTGTAACCGCTTTAACAAATTTAAATATTATCTATACTCAGGTTTTTATGCGCAGCCAAGTATTTCAAATTTAATTATTTGTCCGTGTATTGTGTTTTGCCTATCGTAAAATGCATACTTTCTTATTATTTACAAACTGAAATTCATCTTAAAATTAAAATGTCTGTCCCTTTTATAACCTTGTTTGAGCTCGTCAAATTTTTGGAGTTTTTAAAAATATGATTAAATGGCTTGTATTCAATTTTGTTCAGGTAAGTCCTGTTGTTATAATTTATCCTTTTTCTAAGGTTTAATGCATTAGTAATGTATTATTTTTAGGTTATAGCTATCAGTTTTATTATAGTGCACTTTATTTTTCAATTTTAGGTACCTGTTATCTGCTACTTGCAGATTTCCTTGTTAGAAATTATGTAGATGTCCTGTATCCATTTATGGGGCCACTGGAAACCTCTCTGGAAACTGCTTTATACTGGTTACGGAAATTTTTTCTTCGATGGCAATTTTTTTTCTCTGGATTTGGAGAACAAACAAATTTCTACCTTGCTGGTGAGTTTAATTTACTTCCTTGACTGTATTTCTTGAACTTATTTAAAATTTATTGGAGCCGCTTCTCTCCTCTAGTTACAAAACCCAAGCCGTAACTAATCAATAAACTTTTGTTTCTCCTTCTTTCTGGATTTTTCTGGTCTTAATTTTTCTTAAGGTCCCTTCACAGAAATTCCAGTCCTTGGATGTCCTTTTTTTAACAACATTTTTCACTGCACTTCTTATAACTAATACAATTGTTACAAACCTCCTTACTAATTATTAAAATATTCCTTATTTTATGTTCTTTTTCTAGGTCATCTCCAGGTATTTGTAAAGCCAACTTTAGTTTTGACATTTGATAAAAATTATAATTTAATTTGACATTTGATACAAAATTTCAGATATGACTTAAGTTCATTTAAGATATCTTCTATACAGTTACTCGTCTTCCCAAAATACGTATACCAGATTCATCTATGGATATTGGGCTTTTATTTGATATACGTCATTCTAGGTTTAAATTCTGTTTTCTCTGTACTGAGTGTTAACAAGTGTCGATGTCATGCTTTTTTTAAAAATATTTATTTTGTACTTGAGAATTAAATTAAAATTATAATTTTATACTATGTGATATTCTTAATTGTTACTTATTTTATATTCAGAATCTTTATATTAACAATTTTTAACTATTTTNCGTGAACAAAGGGAGACCTGAGATTTCTTATCCTCACATGTACCCATAAAGCACGTAGAAGTTAAAGTATATCATCAAAGTAATTCCGCTGGCGGGGCCTTTCGGACGTTTCATCATTTTTTAAATTAAAAATACTTCATGCGAGTTCTCCGATCGAGCCTTTTGACTGTAACCGCTTTAACAAATTTAAATATTATCTATACTCAGGTTTTTATGCGCAGCCAAGTATTTCAAATTTAATTACTTGTCCGTGTATTGTGTTTTGCCTATCGTAAAATGCATACTTTCATATTATTTACAAACTGAAATTCATCTTAAAATTAAAATGTCTGTCCCTTTTATAACCTTGTTTGAGCTCGTCAAACTTTTGGAGGTTTTAAAAATATGATTAAATGGCTTGTATTCAATTTTGTTCAGGTAAGTCATGTTGTTATTATTTATCCTTTTTCTAAGCTTTAATGCGTTAGTAATGTATTATTTTTAGGTTATAGCTATCAGTTTTATTATAGTGCACTTTATTTTTCAATTTTAGGTACCTGTTGTCTGCTACTTGCATCTTTCCTTGTTGGAAATTATGTAAATGTCCTGTATTCCATTTATGGGGCCACTGGAAACCTCTCTGGAAACTGCTTTACACTGGTTACGGAAATTTTTTCTTCGAAGAGAAATTTTTTTTCTCTGGATTTTGAAAACAAACAAATTTCTACCTTGCTGGTGAGTTTAACTTATTTAAAATTTATTGGAGCTGCTTCTCTCCTTT